TTTAGGGTGATACAAGTTAATTTTAGTTAAAATGATATGAGGAAAAAGCACGAAAAATATAACCTGTTAACAAGGCACTCCAATATACAGAGGAAGAGCGTCAGACACGTAAGTAAATGTTAGCATATTACTCAAAGGTGATACCAACAAAATATTTAAATTGTGAAATTATTGAGAAAGTAGGATTATAATATGTAAAAAAGGCACAAAGTTCTAATAGTTGACGTATTGATTGTATAGTGACTTGAAAGATTAATAACCTCCATTACGAATATTGAAACTCCAGCAAGAACACTTCAGCAATATTAGTCTATAAATTTCATTGTTAACTATAATCGTCAGTTGATTAAGTTTATTTAAGAAATTAACAAATAAAAGTGTTAACTGAAATAGGCCAACGATTCTATTGTATTATCTGTTGTTGTTGTTGTTGTTGTTGCTGTTGTTGTTGCTACTGCTGTAACCAAATGCCCATTTCACAGCAAACACACAAAAGGTTGAAGACTTTGTACATGGAATGAGATGAGGAAGAAAGTATAAAAACACGATGTAGGTACCGGTATAAAAGTTGTATTTAACATGGGTCCAGGTGAAATGCCTGCACTTGTCTATAGCTGTTTTGTAACTTCAAAATATCTTAATAATATTATTAATAAATTTAAATTTTGTTATTATTAGAGAGCACCTAGTCTAAGTTTAATAAGAATTTAGCTGTTTTTATATTTTTCATATATATGTAAGTTTTGTGTAATATAGTAAAGTTAGTGCCTTTTAGGTAGTAAAAAGATATCGGAAAACATATTCCCTATGAGTTGAATAATATAAAACTTTATTTGAATAATCCGATATTATCCAACATAACATATCTGCTTCAACATAAAAGAGTCTGTCTGTTTTCGAGGGATAAAAATGAGAACATTTGAAAAAATATTCAAAGTCATTTCTTCATCAATTCAAATACTGAAAAACGGAAGAACTGACAATATGATATATATTAACATTAATATATTTTCTATATTTCACCCTTAAGTTCCTCTGCAATGAATCACATACCATATTTACTTAACATGAACCTCTGCCAAACAAATTGGTGTTATGCGAGTACCACACTGTCTACATATTATATTATTGAAGTTTTCACTTCATTATAAACTCAATTAATGTGCAGCGATAAGAATAATTTTTAAATAAAATGAATAGTTCTGTCAATCGCAGAACAATAAATATAATAGTGTAAAGGTATAATATATGCATATGTTTACGGTTATATGAACTCAAATTGAAAATATATAATTTCAATCATTATCACAAAGTATATACCGAATTAGTCTTGTTAAATAATAAAAATAATGTGGCTCATTATTTATTATTTAAATGAATAATAAATGAATACTGAGCACAAATAGTGCTCTAAACAATATAAGAAATAGGTGGTTTTCACACAGTCTAATGTGTATACTATAAAGATTCTATCTCTTTATATTATTTACCCTCCTTTTTATTCACCTAAGCTACTACCTAGCCACACCTAAGTATCTATATAAAATCATGATTGTAATAATTTCATTAACTATTTAAACTCAAACTAATTTTTAATTAAAAAGAAGTCAATAAAATATTAATTTATACTTATAGATAATGTTGCTTGTAAATCCTACCAAAACCGTTACTGTACCATATACAATTTGGAATATCATGACATCATGCGGCTTATTGCTTATTGCTTACAGCTGATTAGGTCTATTAAATTATGCGATATGGAGTCAATGTCGTCACTAAAATACTAGACCTGTCGGATTCTGTATCTGATGTTTTTTTTCGCATTTCATACGAATTACTAGTGCGATGGATGTTAAAAAACTCATGGATGAAATCGAAATTTATTTCACAAAATGTATGCGATAAAAAGAAGGAAATTATTTTTAATCCATTTAAATGTGGGCTTAAAATTTCGAATTTAGATAAAAAAAGACTTAAATGGAAAGTAATATTAACGGGAAGTTTAACCAAATATGCACCTATCCAAGAAGAAATGTTTATGCAAGGCGAATATATGTTACAACCTCTCTAATGACAAATGAAGAGTGATTGTGAAAATAAAAAAGAACAATTTAATTTACAAAGGAAAAATGTACATATATTTGTATTTTAAAATTTATATACAATATATACAATATAACAATATTTATGTCTCATTTAGATATAACTGAACGACATTACTGAGGATATTTTCTTAATAAAATAGAATACTAGAACAAGAAAAGTCACCAATGTTGCAAATTTGATTGTCCATTAAACTAGGGTTCTATCAATTCTGGAAAATAGTTTCATCGCTTATTATGGATTGTAGAAAGTAAAAATCTTTTCTATTATAAAAAGTATAACCGAATATGAAGCAATTTTTCGTTTAATTCATATGGTATTTTGAAGTTATCCTTTAATTTTCAATTGAACAATTTATTTATAAGTTTCTTATAAAATTGAGCGATTCCCCAAAATTAAACGAATGTAGTTTTTAAAGATAAATACGACGAAAATTACGAAGAAAACTGTTTTGCTAATGCAAAGGTTTTTGTATAGTACCAAATTATAACAAAAATATTTTATTTTCAAATTGATTATTAATTATTTTATAATTAAAATCATGGCATAACAAGTAAAAAATTATAAAATGTAACTGAGAGGTTTCGAACAGTAGTGAATTGTAAAAACGGAATTTTTAGTTAATTGAATTTTTGGCTGACCATACAGCTGTTTCGAGTAATAGCTGTTTCTAGCGAATACCCCATTCTTTTAAATATTTTTAATGCTGACCTACCCCTTCCTTCACAATGCATTAGGCAAATCTGCTACGCAGATGATTGTCTCATCTACATGAGGTCCAACCTCCCCAGTTGAAAGTACATTGAGCTTAACAATTACCTTAGGACTCTTTGTTTATTACGTTACTACGGTAAGTGGAAGATTAAGGTCAATGCCCTAAAAGGTTCCGTCTTCGCGATAGCCCTTATGGGCCAGTGTGCTGATCGCGTCTGTACCTTTAAAACCTCGGAATAAACTGTCGTATAAAAGGTGTGTTTTGGATACTGTCAAGATATCGGAAAATATAAGTTCGAGTGCAGTGCTGTTCGAAGACTTTTATGATTTTTATATGTGCGGGAGAAATTTTTTTGTACCTGTGAAGATTTTTTTTATTTTTGTAAATTTTCGTGAATTAAAATTGTAAATGAAAGGTACTGAAGGAGATTAAATAAAAATATTCAAGATTTTTAACAATTAAAAACAATACATATCCTTGTTTAAATAGTGGTAATAAATTAACATATCAATGAAATACGTGTGATGAAATTAATCGAGCATAGGTGTTCCAACACTCATTTATAATAATTCCAACAATCATCTGCAATACTAAAAAGTTGGACTATATGAATTACGGCAGCGTTATACACCGTTAAAATAATGAAATACTGAGACGGTGAACAGGTATTTAAAAAGTGACCGCGAGTAACGGAGGAGATAACCGAGTCCACATTTGAAAAGATCTTATAAGCAGTACAATGCCTACGTATTTTATTATTATATTAAAAAAAATTTGATTTTAAATTTAAAATTCATAAGAAAAATTTTGTTTTGAGAAGAAATCTTAAACACAATAATACGAATCAATTAAAAATTTATGCATATATATATATATATGTTATCGCACGCTCTCACTTTGTAGGGTTAAGTATAAAACATAAAGTAATTTTGTAAGAGAAAATATAGAGAATAAGTTAGAATTTAAATTATGATCTGAGCAAGCTTTGAGTGAAAAGCTTTATTTGTAAGCTCAGATTATTTGAATATAAAAGTAGGAGCATTGCTCACTTAGATTAGATTCATGTACGGTTATGATACGATTAAATGTAAATGCTATTGATTAAATAAAATATTTTTTAAAATATAACCGGACTTATAATCTCATTAATTGGCGCCCGAGCAGGGACCTTGGAAAAAAAAGTGTTATACGGAAAGTGATCGGAAGTGATTTGAATAAAACATTTGGCGAACTATAAAAGTGTATTACAAAGTTGGTGAAAATTTAAAAGTAACCAAGAAGTATTAAATCACAAAAAAGCCAAATTCAATAATAAAGAATCGCGCGGTCACAAACACTAATTTCAAGACATTAAAATAATTTAATAAGAAAGTGACTTCCTATAATCAGCCGCTTCGAATAAATTATTTATCTGCTGCCAACTGGAGCTGAAGAAAAGGATTCCTGGACAGCAAAGAACCCAACAACAATCAACAATCAAGTATCCTCATCATCAGGAGAAACGTGAGTTAGGTTTAACAAAAAATTAATTTTTGTATGAATAAAATCAAATTATTGTTATCATTTTTGAATTGCCATCGTGAAGAAAAAACGAACATAAAATTTTATTGAAAGAATCTTAT